AGATAATTTAGTTCTCAGTTCATGTACCACTATAGCAAAAGCAAACAAACAAACAAACAAACAATATCAAAACAAACAAACAAACAAACAAATAAACGAATACGTTTGCGTTTTCTGTGAGCCAAACTAGAACCGCAAAACGATATTTGGACTGCAGGTCAAAATCTGTAGACTTCGTTTGTTTTAGAAAGAAAAAAAAAATTGCGCAAGTCCACAAGACGACGAGCGTTTAGGGCTTGGGAAAAGGAAGGTAATACGGACAGACAGAAATATAACACCGACTGTTGATAGAAGTAGGACCTACCAGTGGTGCCCTCTAGCCATTCAAAAAGTCATCATATTTGGCTTTCTTACCCTGGATCAGGGTACAGGCCACGAACAAACACTTTCCACCCATCCCAATCCTGGGCTAGCCGCTTGGTGTGACTCCGTGTCTTCCCCCTATTTTCTGTTCATTAATTTCTGTGACTCCTCTCCAGGTTCCGTGTGGTCTTCCGGTTGATTTTTTACCCTGTTGGTTATAATCCGTTGGATTGGATTGGTAGGCCTACTCGCAAAGTGCAGGTCAAGTTACTAAAATTTAGTTTAGGTTCTCTATATTAATTAAAAAAAAGTTTCAGCTTTCATTCTTGAATTAAAAGCTGGGCTAAGTTTTCAATCGCCATTTCTTTTTCAGACTCTCAATCCTAAATATCTTGTTTTAGGCTTTCATTCTTAAAATCTTGTGTTGGCTTTAAACCTTACGATCTTGTTTAGGCTTAGAGCCGCTTTGAACGTAAACAGAATCGTGCATTCTCGGGATTTCCATCGGCTTGAACCCAAGCATTTTCTGTTGTTTGGATTCAAACCGCGGCCACCTGGCTAACCACCCACTGGGATGAGCGTCAAACAGTAGACAGACGATTATATACAGTGTAGATGGTGGGTTCCTGAACTGTTTACGCGTGTGTGTGTGTGTGTGTGTGTGTGTGTGTGTGTGTGTGTGTGTGTGTGTGTGTGTGTGTGTGTGTGTGTGTGTGTGTGTGTGTGTGTGCTGACGGTTGTGTATGTGTGTATGAGAATATCCACCATGCGAAGCAAATTTCTCTTTGAGGAGACCAGTCAAACCTCATCTGATCTCATCCGCGCATTCTGTATTGACTGGTACTGTATTGAACAGTGTCTGTATGTTCCGGGATATCAGTTGGTGTCATGCTACACAAAGGAGGGGATGGCCCTGGTTCCAATCCCAAATTTAGCGTTCTTGGCATTGGGTCCAAACACTCACCTATCAATGCCAAACACGGAGAACGAACAAGACCATCAATAATTCATTTATAGAGGCACCAGCCATCCATGTCCAACGAACAAGACATTAGAGCAAATAATTACAACATGTGAAATGCAATGCCTTAGAATAGCAGTTAACAAGATCAGGCGAGACAAAAATCAGAAACTTAATAATCAGAGAAATGGTGGACACAAATGATGTCATGCATCACATCCAATGCCAAAGAATCAAATGGTTCGGACATCTCCTACGATTACCAACACACCATCCAGCACAACTTGTCTACATGAAAAATTCGATAGCAACAAGGCAAGAGAGCGACCGAGAAAGACTTAGATACTAGATAGATGGAGTCAGGGAAACATTAACCGCCCACGGCATCACCTTGACCCAAGCTCTCCGGCTGGAGACAGAGAGACGTCTCTTTCTTCCTGCGACACACCAAAGGGTATAAGCGGCGAATAAAAGTAAAGGAATTGGGTCGCCTTGGTGAGCTTTCAAGGCTCTCAGTCTCAATCCATTTGGTTCGGTCTCACCTCTTAAACAAACCTAACTGTATTGATAGGGCATTAAAACCATACCATATTTGTCTACTTTGAGCTTGCAATGGCACACATACAATCCATGTGGTTTGTCTATTGTCTTCTTTTTCTTCTTCTTGTTCTTGTTCTTGTTCTTGTTCTTGTTCTTGTTCTTGTTCTTGTTCTTCTTGTTCTTCTTCTTCTTCTTCTTCTTCTTCTTCTTCTTCTTCTTCTTCTTCTTCTTCTATCCCGTGATTGGGGCAACCGTGGGGTCACCATTGCATCCGACAACCAGCTCTAGCCATTTCTCTTTGTCCTCTGCTTTCCTCAGATTGTCACCCATCGTCTTCCCTGTCCACTCTGTAATGTTGTCCTCCTACCTTCTTCTCTGCCTTTCTCTCTTTGTCTTTCCTAGTACAGTTCCTTGTAGGGTTGTTTTGGCAAGTCCGGTGGATCTTGTGACATCCCTATACCATTTTATTTTTCGTCTAACTGACCCTTTATTGTATAGTAAAACGTTTTACAAAACAGTGAACACTGCCCCACACAGTCACACTCCACAAATTATGTTCTGTAGTAAACGAACAAGTGAGGGATCAGATCCACGCGTGCCATGAACTTCAGTAATTGTTTCCCAGACAACAATCGACGTTCTCCACCCTGTTGTGGTTACGGGGTTTGACCCGCCAATATTCAAACTGACACTGGACTCACTGACCGCTCCACTGGACTCACTGACCGCTCCACTGGACTCACTGACTGCTCCACTGGACTCACTGACCGCTCCACTGGACTCACTGACCGCTCCACTGGACTCACTGACTGCTCCACTGTACTCACTGACCGCTCCACTGGACTCATTGACCGCTCCACTGGACTCCCACAACTAGAGGTTATGCCAGGCCATCCTTGTGAAGCTGTCCTGTCTCACCGCAAGAGGATTATACAACGTACAGAGCATGTTTGGTTGTAGTCAGGTTTTACGTAGCTCGCAACTGCATAAGGTCATATGGGCGCAAAGGGGTGGATGTCAACAGAGAAGTCCAAACGGAGAATCAGGCTTACTCTGCTCAACTCTGTAGCTTCAACAGCACAAAGTCTGCTTCGACTATCAGGGCTTACCGGAAATAGCTGTTCACAAGAGTGTGACAAATATAGAAAAGGAGTAGAGGGAAATGACGATAGTAAGAATGAGGAAAGAAAAAGTTACATAGTATAACAGATTCTAAAACCTCTTTGGTATCTCCATAACTGTTCATTCAGACCACACAGCCGCGTCCTTCTGCCTTAAAGACAGATGAATTCATTCTGTCGCCTGCTAGTTTTGAGACCGAAGTCCTGCGTCCTACCATTGGCGGGAGTTGACAGGATTGAAGTTGTCACGACGCGGTGGAATCAGGCGTTCGTCAGTTTTTTTGGGCATGTGGAGTCATTGATATGTCTTCTGTTAAGTCTGGTGAAGTCGGACAAGTTCATCCTCGCTAATTTTTGTACTCACATTTTTGTGGTGTTGAAATTGTTAAATCTGATATCATACTCTACTCGTACTCCTGGTCAATTCTTGATTCAACAATAACATATCAAAGTCCCAGGCTAAGATTGTTGGTGTGCACGGTGTCGACAGTCACTTCGCTCGCTACCATTCTCATCTCTCTTCACAACGGAGGTACACAAGGAGGTACTGGGTGCAGCGGTTCGAAAATTTTCAGCATTTTTTGGGAACACTGTCTATATTCACATCTGCAGTACATGAACAAGATAGAAATAGACAAGGAGCTGAGCGTTGATGGTAATTGAAATTTTCACATTTTCCAGGATTTTGAAAACCTTGGAAAGATAGTTCCTTCTATTTTAGGATAGATTAGATAGACTGTTACCCTTTGCTCTTCTTTTACTCATAATATGTCTTCTGCTTTTGTGGGCTTGGGGGTGGACAGGAAAATGTGGCGTTTTGGGAGAGGGCAGGGAAGGGAGAAGATGGACAACTAAATATAGTAATTCTATTATTATTCATTCAATAGGCTGTATTATGCTTGAAAGCATCATTGCTCTATTATCTTGGTGAAAACGCCGCCTTCTTGCCTCGACAAATCAAGGACTGTCGTGTTGACGTCTATCGTGGTGAAAGGCACAGCCAGAAACTGAAGGGTGATGGTTTAACCACGGTGTACCCTGTCAGTCACCGTTGTCTGTTGTCCGTTAGACAGACGGAAGGATGCGGATGTGTGTGTGTGTGTGTGTGTGTGTGTGTGTGTGTGTGTGTGTGTGTGTGTGTGTGTGTGTGTGTGTGTGTGTGTCAATGTGCCTTAAGACTGTTGTCATCATATTTAAAAGAACAGTAAATGCAGATTTTACAATTTTACATGAGAGCCACCCCCTCCAAAAAAAGCAACAAAAAAAGTAAAAAAGCATCAACCCAACAACAAACTGGCAAGTTGTTACCCCGAAAGCAAACTCTTTGCAAACATCCCAAGTCAATATTTTCAAAAATACAAATTTGAAAACAACCCTCTTATTATTATCTTTAAGCAAATTAATGTTGTCTCCTTGGTAGCAGTATTCATTTGTTGCTTTTTTTTTTGGGGGGGGGGTTGTGGGCTCTCCTGTAAAATTATACAAACTTTATATACTGTTATATACTTTTATAAATGGCAGTAGAATAGCGCTTAATAGGCCTAGTGACAATAGCGAACTCATACTTTCCATTCGCATATCCCTCTCTCGATAAGCAGTAATCAGCATTGACCTTAAAACTCATAGCAATTTATCTTTCCAACGCCTGCCCACGAAAGATATAGCATAGATACACACAAAAACTTGAAAGAGGAAAGAAATCTAGAAAACAGATGATTGCAGAACATATCCCAGAAGAGACATCAAAATGTGCTCGGAAATTAAATGATAAGTGAAAATTCCAGACATGATGTAAATAAGAACAAGTTTGGTTTATTTCAGGGAATCCAAATGGAAACGTGTAAACATAAAACATGAGATTTGACTTTTGGTAAATTTTAGCAGACTCTGAAATAATATTCTGAACAATGCAGAGACCAACAATTGCATGTTCTGTCCCTAATTCGGAACGTACTTTCTGCAACAGGGGAGACAATTGCAACACATTTTACCATCCAAACAAACAGTCGCTGAGAGTCAATAATGGAGCAAACAGGAGTTGATCAACCCACCCCAGATTTACTGACCACCCCACTTCCTTCTGAAGCTGAAGGTGAAGGTCAGGGCATCGTAGTAGTGCTGCTCGGGGTCACCGGAAGCATAGGGCAACACAGATCTGCTGACGTCACCAGACAGAAGCTCGTAGGGGGAGGCTCCGTTGAAAGCCGACTCCAGATGGAAGGTCCAGTTGTCCTTGGGCTCCCTCAGACGGACCAGCTCATTTCCCAAACCGTAGGAGCCAAGTTGGAGGTGGCAGGTGGCGCCAGTGTAGGTGTTCACACCACTCAGGTCACAGTTGACGCTGACCTTGACTCTTTCAATTTCCAGCAACTCACCTCCGGCGAAGCCGATGACCTCACGGTTCAAAACCTGCTCCTCACTTATCGAGTTGTAGAAACTGCTGTCAACAGTCCAGATGTTGGTGGCCGCCAGATACACACAGGACACGTTGAACTTGGCCTCGTCATAAGCCAGATTACGGTCAGCCCACAGCACCCTTCTCCTCACGATCACACTCACGATGTTGTTGGCACTGTCCACTCCGACCACGTCCAGTTTGGTCAGACGCATGTCCACGTCCAGGGGTCCGGAGTCGTCGGGTTGGGGGAAGGCTGGGGAGGCTCTTTCTCCGAACCAGTTGTACAGCTCATTGTAGTGGCTTGCCGCGGAGGCGCCTGTGGAGATGACGAAGAGAATAAGATCAGGAAAATTGAGAGGAATGTTTTGAAGACTTTTGAAGGATTTTCAGGAACAGGTGAAAAAGTTGTTTGTACATGCCAGAGTCGTTTGGAGATGTTTGAGAACAGAACATCTAAACACGTGTGAGCTGATGAGGAAGAGGAAAATGGCTCTGGGGTTAGACAAAAGGACAAAACCTCACCAGAACTTCAATAGAGTTGTGTGTAGGTCAGTCATTTTAGTCAATGGTAAGAAAAAAGACAAGTGAAGAAAGAACGCAGAATGATACATACACATTAACAAGTCTCTTGTGCATTCCTGTTGACAGCTATTTTAGATAGTTTCATCAAGGGGAATCTCATTTCATTCACAGTGGGCATAGTTTATTGTTTATTTGCCACATAATATTATCATAGAACGCGATTACCTTAAACGCTGAAGCAAAATTGTAACTACAATTTTTTTTGACAACTCATTTAAAGCTTCCGTTACATATTTCCTTCAAAGTCTTCAAAATCTAAAGTGATTAGAGGAAATGAGTTAATGATCTGCTAAAAACAACCAACATCAAACAAACTAACAAGGCAAAAAATAAGGGTCGATTGAACCCCATTAACCCCCCCCCACACACACACACACAAGAATTCAACAAAATGTCTCACCAGCAAACGTGAGAGCGATGCACAGAAGAATGAAGCGAGCCATGGTTCCTGATCTCTGGAGGGAGTTGGTGAAGACACAGGGAACTGCAGCATCCTTATATATACAGCTGCCTTCTCTTTAACAACTGTGAGGGTTTTTTTTCTGAAAACTATTACAACTATTTTTTGCCCAAGAGTTCTTCTAAAAATAAGACATGTATGTCTTGTGATGCACCTTGGAGAGCAATCTATGAAACGAAACAAAGTCATGGAAAAATTAGGTCATGGCTGCACGCGATATGTCTCACGACCGAGATAGACGGCGGATGGAGACGCCCAGGCCATTGGTAAGATAGGAAGAAAACAAAATAGCATGTCTCTCCGGGTTGTCTTTCTGTCTGATTCTTTCGAACTCGTCCTTGGTCGGGAATTTTCTGACTTGATTCCAACAGTTGGACAGACCAGCTCAAAAAAACACAAAAAAAACAAGCATAACAGAAGGAAAATGAAAAATGCACTGGTAATTATTATGTTAAAGACAATATGTCAGGCGGCGTGGTGGAATCAGGCTCTCGTCAAAATAATCAAAGTGAAGAAACTTGCATTTTTCCGCAGGTTTGTGAATTTTTATCAAATGTTTGCTTTTTGGCACAGCAACGTTCATGCCCATTAAAGAACGCATTTCTGTGTGGATTTTTCTGAAAAACGTTGATTAAAGGCACAAAAATGTAAATTTTCAGTTACCACAGTTAAGCTAAGGAAATAACTAATCTTTGGCGACCATTTTCTCACTAATTTTATCTCTGAAGACAGGTTACCCCACCTCCTTCAATTGCAAATATCTAGACTTGTATTCAAGATAAATGGATACTTTTTTCATCCAAATAAAGACAGGTGAACGACTTTAAGATGATACCAATAACTCTACATGCCCAAAAATTGACGAGAGCCTGATACTACCACGCTGTCTCACATTTACAATAAAAACCATAGCATAATCGTAATAGTAATTATGATGATAATAATTGTTTTAAAAAAAAGATTATAATAATGATAAGGTCTCCATGATTATTATTATCATTGTTGATATTTAGTTTGCATCGAAAAAAGGAAAGGTAAATGATATAAATAATTTCAGAGATATTAGTTGACTGAATGTTATTGGTAAATAAATTAGTGGCGTCGGTGGCCTAGTAGTTCGGCTCTTGGACTCGCAACCGTAAGGTCGTGGGTTCGAATCCCGTCAGGGACCCGACGTTGTGTCCTTGGGAGAGGCACTTTGCACACATTTTCCTCACTTCACCCAGGTGGAAATGGGTACCCGGCTATAGACAGTGAACGATCTTGTCAGTTTGTTGGTGTTTGCGCTAGTGAAATCTGCAGCTTGCACTGTATGCTTCTGCGGAAGCCGAGAATGTTTCTGAGTGTTCTCAGAGGGTCGGCTGGGGTAATAATAGTTGTAAAGCGCATAGAGCATGCTCTATATCAATGCAATTAGTATTATTATTGTCCAATTGTTCTCTATCATATTGAACAAAAGACTGTCACAATGGTGTGATGAAGGTAACCTCATCTCTGAATCTCAGGCCGGTTTTAGACGAAATTCTTCTACTATAGATTAAAGGTATATTTTCACTCCAATCGTTAGTCTAAAAGTATATATCCAAGCATGGCAGACGATTCTAAGTATTTTGACGACTTTATAAAAGTAATTGACTGGGTTGACATAGAAAAGCTTTGGACAGTATTAATTAAGAAGTCTTGGCTGTTTTGGACTAGTGTATACTACGTCGTACTTTGAAAATGTATGAGTCAAAGTGTTCCTTCACGTGTTCAAGTCTGTTCAGAAGAACGATGATCCATAACATGTTATACTACCAAATACTTCCAATGTACATCAGGTGTCAAACAAGGCTGCATACAGAGCCCTATAGCATTTTTTGGGGTTCATTTCTCAAGTTGAAAAACATCTTTCCGAATCAAATACCCATACCCTACAGGTATTGCCCAAGGAAGGTGATTGTATTTAATGATTAATATACACTAATGACCTAAGTCTTTTTAACGTCAACGCCAAAGGTTTACAAAGGAAAATCGACACGTGTTATGATTCTTGCCAGATATGGGGTTTAAACGTGAATACAGAGCGAGAACAGCAAGAATTTTGGTTTTTAGAAATGGAGGCTATCTCTGAAAAGATCTGAGAGGTGGTATTTGCAGGGTAAGATCTTAGAGACAGCAACTTTTTGTAGCTACTTGATATGAGCGTTTTCTTTTCTCCTGGTGTATGCTGGAGACGAACGCTGGAAGATCGAGCTTGTAAAGCTCAGTGGATTGGTTCTCGAACAAGAAGGCTTTTCGGTTCATACCATGGATTAAATTTGGAAACAGTAACAACAACAAAACCTGTTGACGTAAAAATTAAACCACTGCAGTTTTATGGCTCTGAAATTTGGGGTACTAAAAATTGGAAAGTGATTGATAATGGTAGATATCTGGAACGCCTTTCAGGATCTTGGCAAAGCTACACCAAAGTGTTCAGTTCTAAGTGAAGTGGGAAAAACAAATTCATGTTCTGATTACGCGCATTGTGTCATTACATTCTGGTGCACCCTTATAGATTTAGACAATGGCAGTTATCCAAAGAAAAGTTACATGTAATTTTATCGTTCCTGTGAACTGGGCAGAGTCAACTGGTATTCCGAAGTTAAGAACCTATTATTTTCCCTGTGTTTTGGAATGCCTTGTTTTCTAAAAGGGTTGGAGGCACTGGGATTATTTCTCAGTGAAGTAAATAATAGGCTTGTTGATCGCTCTGTGCAAAACATACAGGAGGCAGTCTGTCACCTGTGTAATCTATTTTCTCTTACATATCCATTTCAAGAAACAGCTGAGTACATCATCAATTTCCTACGGTATTGGAACAGAAGAGTCATGGTCTTGTTAAAAACTCACAGTCTTCCATTAATCAAAAATAGTAATAGGAGGACATAATAAATTCACCCTTGTGTGAGGTGTACCTCTCATACAATTGAAGAGGAATTTCAATGTTGTCCATCAAAGAAAATGGTTAATTCCTCCCACCCTCACTCTTTCCAGGGACAGAAAGATGCAATGTTGAACCCACAATAAGAGATATATTATGCACATACTATACTTCTTCAATATAGAAACTATATTTGAGAAATGAGTGTTTTGTATGGTGTGGTGTGGGCCAATGGCCTTAAACACGATAAATCTGTTTATTATGACATTGTATTATTATTATTATTATTATTATTATTATTATTATTATTATTATTATTATTATTATTATTATTATTATTATTATTATTATTATTATTATTATTAATATCATTATCATTATTATTATAAATATTAATTATTATTGTTTATTTATTTACTTACTTTTTAATGATATCATCAATACTGTTACTGTTGTCATGATCATAAAAGTAAAGTTGTTCCTGCATCCGATCCGGACATGGGTATTGCCTTGTTAGTGAGACAACGTCCTGGGCCTACGGCATATTGTGGTAGGGTGGCCAGTTCCCTTCCACGCGGCCTTTACTTCCCCAACTCTAAGTCAGGTACCCATTACTGCTGGGTGGGCAGGGGGGGGGGCGAAAAAAAACCGAGGCTCGAACCCGGACTTTCCGCTTCGGAGACGAGCTCACTAACCGCTCCGCCCCTGCACCCTCGTCATGATCTGAATTATTGATAATAGTAGGTACAAAAAATCAGAAGTGTTTTTTTGTTTGTAAAACTAGTTATGTAGGAGTGTTTTATAACCCACAAACACCATTTAGATCATTTAGGAGGCGGGCTTCCCTCCCTGCTTGTCAAGGCCAATAAGGTCTGAGAGGTATACAATATCCCAGCAAAAAGACCGGGACTCAATAAGATATTTACTCCACTCGAGAATCGAACTTGGATCTCTTGCTGTATGCCAAGCAGAAAGCGTGCTACGCCACAGATGCCAGTGTAAAAATAAGAATGCGATATCGATGACATCAATAACATTAGTGTAATAAAAGCAATAATAATATTAATATTGGAAATAGAGATACCAATAATTATAAAATCAGTGTAGGATTTTCATCGATCTATATCTATCTATCCAGCTATCTATCTATCTATCTATCTATCTATCTATCTATCTATCTATCTATCTATCTATCTATCTATCTATCTATCTATCACACACACACACAAACACATACACACACAAACACACACACACACACACACACACACACACACACACACACACACACACACATACATACACAAGCATACAACGTTTGGTGGGGTCAACGTTTGCATCACTCTTTAGAAGAAACCACACACCATTCAGAACTCAAAATTTAAACAATTACTGTAACGGTCGATATTCTTTGTATCCTGACTGAGCTGGATACGTATTATTTCGAGTGCAGGAATTCATCAAAAGGTTGGTTTTGGTCGCGTTGTATCGTTGTATAATACCCCAGAAGTTTTAGTTTTAGTTTTAGTAGAGGTTTTACGGCGCTCGCAACTGCATAAGGTCATATGAGCGCCAGAAGATTAGAGGTGTTACAAGAGAGTAATGAACATAAAAAAAAGAAGGGGAGATAAGGACGATAGATGTTTGATAGGAAAGAAGAAGCAAACCGCACCAGAGCACCCGCCAACCACCCACATCCCCCAGAACTGAGCTATTTGGTTTCATATTTCTCTTTTACATAATCTTGACGTCCGGTGTTTGGCGTAGTGTCAAGCTTGGGGAGATTAAAGAAAAGGGGAATTCCCAAGGCAGTAGCAGACAGGAGTGTTAGATGAGGCTCACAGTGTCATGTGTGTGTGTGTGTGTGTGTGTGACACGATGTGTGGGTGGGTGGTCAATAGAGTGTTTGTTTTAGTAGAGGTTTTACGGCGATTGCAACTGCATAAGGTCATATGAGCGCCAAAAGATTAGATGTGTTACAAGAGAATATAAAACATAAAAAGAAGGAAGGGAGATAAGGACGATAGATCTATGTTTGATAGGAAAGAAGAAGCAGCGTGTCCACTACAAGTTAATACAATTCTATTATAACATCATTAAGGTTTTTTTAAACTCTCAAATAGATTGGCTTCTGATTTTTTCTTCATTCAGCATTAATTTACTTTTCCCCCATCCATTTTTTCCACTCTTTCAATGCATTTCTCGACTCTTTCTATGAATTCATCGGTGTCGCATGGATGAAAAGAGCCATACATCTGGGTGTCATCGGCATAGAAATGGTAGCTGAGTTGATACTTTCGTATTTCTACAGCCTTAAAAAAAATACCCCCCCCCCAAAAAAAAAACCCATCCCGTGGCTAACGGCAATGCTGTGTCAGTAGTCTTTGTCTATGATACTCTGTGTGACTAATTCACTCATGTATGGTCGCTATAACGTCAAGGAGAGTTTTCTCTATAACCAAACAAATATACACACCAATGAAACCAAACTTCTCCTATAGGTAGGGCAATGCCCACTTTTCGTGAAGGTTAAGATTTCTGGAAACCGCCGATATCTGGGTTAGCCCGCTTGTCCTTTAAACGCAACCATATAAAGTACACGTATTTATGTTTTTCTGTACGCCTCTGTAACCAACAAAAACAAACAAACAAAAAACAAGCCAAAGGAATCAATTATTATAAGAAACCTACTTTTTTTTCTTAAAAAAAAACAAAACAATTTTAGTAGATGCAATTGCAAAGATGCTGTGTCAGAAAAAAGAACAAGAAAAAGGTCAAGGAAAACCAGAAGAAAGAGAAGAACAAGAACAAGAACAAGAACAAGAAGTGGGGCTCTCGTGGCCTAGAGGTTAAGGTGTTGGCCTCTCATTCAAACGTCCCGGGTTCGAATCCGGATAGCGACTGAAAATTTTTCTTCTCTAAAATTGTCTCCTTTCACATCCTTTCCTGCTCTCTAGCAATGTTCTATCGTCTTCTTTCGTCGCCACTTTCTGCTCCCACCCCCTCACCTCCTAAGCCACCTCCTCTGGGCTCCTGACTCTTTCTGCAGCCTTTCTACTTCTTCTCCTTGGTTCCTCCTTGCTGCTGTCTTTCTGCCACACCCCTGATCTTCTGGTAGGAAAGATCTACAGCAGCAGCTAGCCTTCTTGGGCATGGGCGAAAAATCTCGGAGGTCCCGTGTGCATGTTGCGCACGTTAAAGATCCCTTGGTGGTCTAAAATAGATAAGATTAGGCTTCGGCCGCCACCCGGACAGAATTCAAAATTTCCTATTAACTGAAAATGTTTAATGTTACCCCGCGCTCATATGACGGTATGCAGTTGCGAGCGCCGTAAAACATTTCCCAAAAATAAAAGAGAACAAGAAACGTGTACCTTTTTTCATTTTCTTCCTGCTGTCGATGAGTTTGAGATTTGATTTGTTCTTCAACAGACATGCAATAGCTTTACGCATGACGAAACATTAAGCGTTTCTTTCTTACGGTGGCACTCATAGGTCGCTGTATTTCTGATGTAGGCTTAAGAATCCGCCACTGGCTAAACGGCTTTGTTCTCCTGTCTAAATCGTTCACTGGTCTTTTCCCAATGTTAGACCAAGCACAATGTTTTATACGGATGATAAGAAAAATAACATAATACAGAACACTTCAAACTTTGTGAAGATTAATAACTCAATTAATTAATGACATTATTACGAAATTAATGGCTAGTTGAGATTATTAAAAAATAGAGAAGGGTTGAAAACAAAATTGAAAAGTAAATTATTGAAAATATCATAGTCAAAGCTGATTGCCTTCTTAATGATCTAATTTGTATCGATGGAGCCGTAAAAAAATTCACAATTGCACATTCTAAAGAGAGGTTCGCACTCATTTCTATTGGACCAACGAGGTCGCATAAAATGTGTGTGAAATGTTTTCCATAATTTGCTTGAAAGACTAAGTTCGCACTGCCTACTCCTACTTCCCGCTATGTAGGTCACCACGTGACGCCCCACAACATGCATCAGAATATCATGTTCAGATGTGGCCGTGGTCACTTGGCAGTAAGAAGTAGAGCACTGAGTTGACAAACTATAAGAATACTCTCTAGATATCTCCCCCCCCACCCCCCACCCCCCACCCCAGTTACGCCCACAATTTCTTCCAAACATTTCAAGTTTTGTTTCGTTTTGTTTCGTTTTGTTTTTGGTTTTTTTCTACTGTGTGTACAATCAGGAGAAACCAAGCTGGGAGTGTCAGCTGACATGTCCTCCAACTGTTGAAACAAATTCCTAACCCCCTCCCCCCCCCCCCCTGCCAAAAAAAGAAAACAATAATAAGAAACAGAAACAGCCTTTGTTTATTCACTTATTTATGTATATATTTATTTATGTATTTATGTATATATGTATTGTTAAAAAATTGATTTATTGATTGGTTGATTGATTCATTCATTAGTTGATTTATAATTTATGTATTCTTTTATTTTTTAAATTTATTTATTTGTAAACTCGTACGGCTGAAAAGGGAAATAAACAGTTCATCGCATAAACAATATCCGTGAGTTCCTGTGCGTCGTCAAATTCCAACACAATAGCACGAAATAGAAATGTGGGAAAGGAAAAAAAAACAACCAAAAACAAAACAACAAAACAAAACGAGCGAGTGTGAGAGGCCATACCCTGGCGAGTCGTCAGTACCTCTGTGTCGCCACACGTAGCGTTGTGGGTCAGTGCAGCAAGGAAGGGGAGTGTGACCTTGCCCCAGATGTCCTTATGTAAGTCTTACACCGCTCTTCATTACAGCCATGTCACAAGGCACCTCTATGTTATCTCTAGGATGTCTTACATTAACGGAAAAATGAGAAAAAAGAAAACACAAAACAAAACAAAACAAAGAGACTTAAACAGGGCAAAAAAGGCAACGAGCTCCAAAAAAAAACAAAAAAACAAAACAACCCCACAACATCAACAACCAACAACCAACCACCAACCCACCAACCAAACAAAACCAATTCACTCGATAAGTAGGATATCAGAACAACAAAAAAATCAGAAGGAGGTTAGTTAAAAAAAAACACAGGAACTGGCAAGTTATTCGAGGGTGAGGGGCACCTGTATATAACGTGTACGGCCATCTCTGTATCTTCACCAACTCCCTCCAGACACCAGGAACCATGGCTCGCTTCATCCTTCTGTGCATCGCTCTCACGTTTGCTGGTGAGGCATTTTGTATTCATGAACATTAATTTTTTAAAATGTTAAATTCTGATTTTTAACAAATTTAATATTTATTATCATTTTTGAGAGTGTCTTTTTTTGTGGTTTTTATAATTGTCTATTGTGTCCTCTTTTTTCATTTAGGCTAGAACATAAAGCTTTTGGAAACGTCCCCAGCAGCACAACTTGTGTTTTTTTAAATTCGAGAATGTTGTTACTAATTGAACACAGTCCTTTACTTTTGAAGCGAAAGTTATTTTTACGCCGACGTAGGATTCCATAGTTGCAGACGTTATAAAATGGCAACCATTACTTTCTCCACTTTTGTCATTTTGAGGCGTTAGAATAAAGTGTAATTCTGAAACCTTTCTTAAGCTGCATATTATACAAAAATTGTGGACTACAATTATGTACTACACGAGACACACTCAATGCCTGGTTCAGCTGGCGGTGTTAAGCTCCTTAATTTATACACGTTCTAGAGTAATATACATACAGGAATATATGTAATAATAATAATAATGATGATGATGATAATAATTAAATAATAAACAGCACTTGTATAGCGCATAACCCCGTTCGACAGCAAGCTCTATGCGCTTTACACTATCTTTTTACCCCAGCAGACCATAGAACACTCAGAAACATTCTCAGATTCTTAGAAAGCATTTAGCGTAAGCCCTTAAACATAACAAAACTGACAAGATCTTCCACTGTCTATAGCCGGGTACCCATTTTCATCTGGGTGAAGTGAGGAAAATTCATGTGAAGTGCCTTTCCCAAGGACAGTAGCTCCGTTTGTATATATACATGTATGTGTCTTCTTTTTTCTTTCCACTCCTTTTCTTATTTTGACCATCGTGAAAAGGTTTGTCTCACTGCCTTACTTGATCAAAACGGTGTCTTGTCTTGTATTTTCTGATGACGTCAGGGTTTAGTGACTTTCCTACACACGAGCTAACCTGAGTCTGGAAGTCCCCAAGCATCAAAGAAACAACGGTGTCCAAAGGTTCTTCAATTCCACCGCGACTAACTCATTGGCTCTACTGCACACGTATCTAAGTGCCCCTAGAACATTTCCAAAACAGCTGTGACAATTTCAGAGGTGCAAAATGTACTTGTGGACACAAGTCCCCAAAACATCTCCAAAATCACCACTCATTTTGCTTCTGTACTTGTCTATAAAGGTCACTGAAACATCGACGAAAGGTTTCTCAAATTTCATTTTTACATAATATTGTCCTCCTCATCCCCCCAGGCGCCTCCTCGGCAAGCCGCTACAACGAACTGTACAACTGGGTCAGCGGAAAAGCCTCCCCAGGATTCCCCCAACCCGACGACTCCGGACCCCTGGATGTGGACATGCGTCTGACCAAACTGGACATCGTTGGTGTGGACAGTGCCAACAACCTGGTCACTTTGATCGCCAGAAGAAGGGTTCTGTGGGCTGACCGTGATTTGGCCTTTGACGAGGCCACGTACAACGTGTCCTGTGTGTATGCTGCGGCCACCAACATCTGGACTCCTGACAGTACCTTCTACAACTCTGCTGGCCAGGAGCAGGTGTTGAACCGTGAGGTCATTGTCTTTGCCGGAGGTGAGCTGCTGGAAATTGCCAGAGTCAAGGTCAGCATCAACTGTGATGTGAGTGGTGTGAACACCTACACTGGCGCCACCTGCCATCTCCAACTTGGCTCCTACGGTTTGGGAAATGAGCTGTTCCATCTGAGGGAACCCAAGGACAACTGGACCTTCCATCTGGAGTCTGCTTTCAATGGAGCCTCCCCCTACGAGCTTCTGTCTGGTGACGTCAGCAAATCTGTGGAGCCCTACGCTTCCGGTGACCCCGAGCAGTTCTATTACGATGCCCTGACCTTCACCTTCAGCTTCAGAAGAAAGTGGGGCGGTCAGTAAATCTGGGGTGGGTTGATCAACTTTAGTCTGTTTGATAATTGACTCTCAGGTTTATTTATTTTCATGGTGACATTTGCTACAAATGTATCCCCTGACATAAAAAGAAATACAGAAATGGGGACAAAATGTTACATTTTTTGCCCTTGCATGTTTCACCATAATATTATTGTTATGGTAAAATTTACCAGCATTTACCAACCTGTTTTTGTTTTGTAATGTTAAGATCATTTCCATTCGGGCACCTTGAAATAAATGACGATGAGATCTACTTTCTTTAAGACACTGTCTCAGATGTTGCTTTGTTGTTGTGTTATTCCACTTGCTTATCATGCTACTGTTATGGAACATCTTCGTTCTCCCTTTTCTGTTTTCATTCCATGCTTCATTTTGCTGTTTCGTTGATTGGTTTATTCATCATCATCCAGTGCCAGATCTGCGACAGACATCCACGATCATGGTTCGCCGTTCATTCCTTTGCTCGGATGCTCTCAAGAAAGCTACGTTTCCCTGATCTTTCCCTGTTACCCATTTGTTTAGGTTACCCAAGTATGTCGTTCTGGGCCTTTCCCTGTCTCGCTTGCCCTCAATTTGATTTTTTTTATTACATAAACGGAAAAGATCAATGTGATATCAGCACCTTGTACTTTCAAGACACAATAATATGTGAGCGGGAAGGGGGTGGGGGTGGGGAGGGGGTGGTGGAGTTAGTGAATGTGAAGTCTGTTGTTTAGCACTACGCTTCCTGTGATCTGGGACGAAGTTAGTTCAGTTCCAAGACCTTCACCTTCAGGGTGTGTTGGCTGATTAACGCGGGACAGTCCCAGGTTCTCTCGTCTTCCTGCTCTTTTACTCGGACTGGACAGATTAGAACCTTGGCAAAACTTAACGTTTGTCTCCCCCTGATACTGAAGTACCTACCGAAATAGAGACAAACCATATGTTTTGCTTGCTCAACAAACTAAGGTTAATAAATGATGACATTGCTAACCCTTATTGCGTACGCAGACTATACCGTATGCTTGGTGCTAGAATGTTTCCAGTATGAATGACATGAAATAAAAGTTGCTTGTCGTGTGAAGCTTGTTTTTCGTTTTGAATTTGTTTGATAATAAGTGAATGAACTTTTAAAGGGCGTGGGGTGAAAAGGGGGGCGAGGGATAAATGTAATTGATATATTTTACCAAGTAATTATTTTTGTTTCCTTCTTTGTTTGTCAGTTTGTTTATTGCTTGTTTGTTCTTTTGTTTCTTTTTTGATCGTTTGTTTGTTTGTTCTTTTGTTTAGTTTGTTTCGATTTTGTTTGGTTCAGTAGGGTTTATTCTGGGGGGTCTTTCATCATTTTGGTTATTGTTTTACTTTTTTCTTTCACATGTTTCTTAGTTGGGTTTCTTGTGAGTGTGTTCTCGGGCCTTTTTTCGCTAAGAGGTAAAATTGTTTTCGTTCTACAGAACACAGCAGAAAGCAATTCTGTTGCTTTGAGAACTGTATTTGCGTGTAGTTTGACTGGAAGGGTAGTTAAATGAACTGACTTCAACAGAGATCAAATTAAGAAGCTGAACACAGACATGATGAAAATGTCGCAGGCAATGGAATCTGGGGGTGTGGGGGGGGGGGAATCAAGATCTGTGTCAAAAAAATGAGAATGACGTAGCAGGGAAGGTGTATTAGATGCGCACGTGATCAGAGAAGAACATTATATTAACACATCTGAGTTAATGATGTCTTGCTCAAGCGTACTCTCTCCCTTCTTTACTTTTACTTTTCCACCTTCTGTCGGTGTCAAGCCTCGCGGGGACCTGCAGTTTTCTATGGTAGGTCAACTCTTTAGCTCTTTCAACCAAAATGTTATAATTTTTTAAAGGGTTTTCTTGACTGCCCCTGTTTTTATCTTTTGCATGGTCTGCCTCTTCCTTTATTGAATGAGTACTTGATGTCATAGTCTTTAAAAGCTAACTGGCTAGCTGACATTCGGAACAAGTGGCCAAACCATTTTATTCTCAGATTTTCTATGACATGGAGGCAGGACTGTGTGGCAATAGTAGCACTAACTTTTCGTTTTTTCTGCCTGTCAATTCATGTGCTATTAAGGATTGGTGCTGCAGTTAGAAACGCCGGTTTGTGGTATAAGCTGGGATAGACTTATTCTGCAGAAATCCCTCTTAAGGGTTTTGCAGAGACATTTCATCTCGCACGGCAATCTGTATAAGACAACCCCCCCCCCCTGTAAAAACAACAGCTTCCCACTTCTCCCTTCATTTGTTCTGTATTACAATGACACTGTCCTCGAGGGTCACTTGTCTACATGACCTCTTTTCTCCTGGACTATGGGTGGTCATCTTAGATAGGTTCTACTGTACTTTAAGATGGAAGAACAAAGATGACATGGAGGCGAGCGGTACAAGCGAAAATTGAAAAAGCGGGGACATCATGGAAACAGATAGAAAAAGATGATCAGGACAGGCTTCGCTGGAGTAATGTTGTTGATGGCCTGTGCTCCACTGGGAGTTTAAAAGGGCGAGAGAGAGAGAGAGAGAGAGAGAGAGAGAGAGAGAGAGAGAGAGAGAGAGTGTGTGTACTTTAAGATGGCGTCGGTGGCCTAGTGGTTAGGTTCTCGGACTCGCAACCGTAAGGTCGTGGGTTCAAATCCCGTGAGGGTCCCGACGTTGTGTCCTTGGGAAAGGCACTTTACACACATTTTCCTCACTTCACCCAGGTGGGAATTGGTACCCGGCTATAGACAGCGAGAAGATCAGCTGGTCAGTTGGTTAGTGTTTGAGCGCTTAATCATCTGCTTGCACTGTATGCTTCCCGGGAAGCTGAGAATTTTTCTGAATGTACTATGGTCTGCTGGGGTAATGATATAGTGTAAAGCGCATAGAGCCTGCTGTTGAGTGGGGATGTGCGCTATACACAAGCTATTTATTATTATTATTATTATTATTATTATTATTATTATTATTATTATTATTATTATTATTATTATTAAGATAAGACACGTTAAGATAATGCTGTATTATCCGAGAGGGAGATTTTTCTTGGCTGCACAGGTTCATAAAAAAACACAATGACATGCAGGAATACATACACATTTAAATTATATAATACGCTCATTAAAATTCAATATGAAAAAAGAAATAGAGCTGACAAAATGTACTTATCACATCAGATGCATTATTCAACCACATGCAGGAATTTAATTACAAGACATTTAGAGTTATATTAGATACGTACTCGAAAGAGCAACACACATTGATGCTTATTCTGACAATACCCTTATGCTACATGGTGAAAAATTCTTTTATATCTTTTTTCTTTGCTTTTAGAGGTAAACATCTGCCTCTGCTTGATTCTACACTTTAGAAGCTGACCGACTTGTGTTAGATGTCTGATATTATGTCTCGAGAATACAGTTCTTATAAATCGAAAGCAAAAGACAGGAAGCTTTGATGAACGAGGACATAATGATAATAAATGATAATAATAAATAGATACCATCTGTATAGCGCAAATCTCCGCTCAACAGCAAGCTCTATGCGCTTCACTATCTATACTATTACCCCAGCAGACCTGAGAGCATTCTGAAACAATCTCAACTTCCAGGAAAGCACACAGTGCAAGCGGCCATTTATAGACCCTAAAACACGAACATACTGACAGGATCTTTCGCTGTCGATGACCTCTGACATCTGTCTTTTGTTGAGGTGCCAGCGACAGGATGTGCAGAAACAGCCCGCCTCCTATATGACCTAAATTATTCCAGCCAATGAAATCAATGAAGAAGGACACATTCTGCCTGTGTCAAACACTTCCATCTCTTGCGCAGTTGGTTTTTTTTTTAGTTTCACCGCGCTCCGCAAAACAATAAACGATAGATTGTGTATCGACATAGTGGACTCCATGTTTGACCGTGGGAAAATTGTGAAATGGTACGGGTTTAATTAAGCCATATGGATCAACACAAAAAATACAAAAATCACAGAAGACGAAATCACGTCTGCTAGCAGCTGGAAACCACGGTTAATTATTATCGGCTGCAATTACACTCGTATCGATTTTAATTTAAGTAAGACTCGCGAAAGTGATGTACACGACCCCCCCCCCCCTTTTTTTTTTGATCTATGGGGGTTTTCGTTACGTCGACTATTTATTACGAGGCTAATTTCTGAGATCTTGGCAGTTGGTATGCCTTAAGTGTACTTTCATATGATAAAGTCTTCTCAAAAGAACGGTGGTCGTCAAAATGTTCTTTCTGTATGACTGAATATTTTCAATGAACTTCTGGTGTAAAATAAGGCTGCATATTTAGTCCTATATTATTTTTCTTGTTCAATTTTCAACTAGACAAACATTAATTTTTAAGAATCCAATGACCCATGCCTTACAGGTATTGTCTATTGAATCAGATATCACTTTGTGTGGGAAGTACGACGATGATCTAATCCTTTTTTTAACGACAATGTCAGAGGTTTACAAATGAAAATCACATTGTTACACGATTTCGGTCAGATATACGTTTTAAAAATGAATACTTTGAAAAATAAATACTGTTGTATTGAGGAATGGAAGCTATCTCAAAATGTCTGAGAGATGAGGTATTGGGAAGGTGAGATCTTCAACAACAAGAACATATTACAGATCCTTGGGTATTTCATGTCCAGCACGTCTGTGCTGCAGACAACAGATAGGACATTGGGCCTGTCAAGCTCGATGTATTGTTACTCCTACTACAAGGCTTATCAGTTCCATTGAAGAACAGGATTTTCAAAAAGCAAGAAACCCACGTTTCATATTAAGATTATACCAATGCTGCTTTATCTTTTTGAAATTTAGAGTACCAAGAATTGGGACGTCAATGAAAAAGTACAAGTACAATTCTAGAAAACCTGTCTCAGTTTTTTTTTAAAGTTACACCCACGGGTTTAGTTCTGAGAGAAATCGAAAAAACTAGTTTATGGTCTGATTATGCATAATGCCTCTGATGTGGCATGAGGGCCTACATTATTGTCAGCTTTACTTTCCTTTTCATTTTGAATTTTACTGAGAGTAATATATAACTTGATTTTAATGTATACTTGTTTGTGTTTTACGGTACATCATTGCACCTTATGCAGTCGCGAGCGCCGTAAAACTCCTACAAAAACAAAACAAAACACCAAGATTAACCTCCCACGGCGTTGGAACCTTGTTAAAAACCTAAGAGTCTGCCATTGGTGGTCAGCATTCAGTAACGAACAGCCTTCCGTTTTTTTCCTTCAGTAAAATTGTCAGCCTCTTTATAC